TATATATATATATATATATGGGGGGGGGCCTTTAAATGACTCCTAATGGGGTTATGATCAGTTACGTAAGTCGTCTAGATAAGCATGAAGTAGTGTAACCAATTTAATTATTTATGAGTCTGGGTTGATCAGGAATATATTTATTAGACAGATTCATATTTAAACAAAGAGAAGGTTAAGTTACAAAACATCACAACATTTAAAGTTCACTTTTTAATAATATCCACTCGAAGATAGATAGAAATAAACAGAAATAGATAGATATGAATAAACATAGATAGATAGATAGATAGATAGATAGATAGATAGATTATTTTTATGCATTTAATCCTACTCAAGGCAACAAAGCCACTAGGACGCAAGGGGGTACTGAGTGTTAGAGAATGTTAGAACACCTATGGACCGAGTGTGTGAACAACGATGAGGTTTTAGAGGATGCAAACAAGGAGGAGGCTTATACTTAACATCAGGAAGAGGCAGTTGAAGTCTCTGGGACACATAATGAGAAAAGAGGGTCAGGAGAATCTGATACTCACAGGTCGAATAGAGGGAAAGAGAGACAAGGGAAAGCAACGGGTGACATACCTATCGCGCTTAAGCAAATGAATGACAGAACGTAGTCTAGGGGAGGTGGCAGAGCGACGAAACATATTGAGAGCTACGAGGGATAGGGAGAAGTGGAGAGCCATGATCGCTTACGAAGTGAAAGGACATGGCATAAAGAAAGAAAAGAAAGAAGAGAATTTACTAGACACTTGATATTGAATTTTTAATTTTTTTTTAAATCTCTCTCTCTCTCTCTCTCTCTCTCTTTCTTTCTTTCTTTCTTCTTTCTTTTTTTTTTTTTCTTAATATTCAGAATATTTAATCTATAGTAATATGAAAAAAATGTCTTATTTCGGATCGCGGTGCGTATCGCCTATAAAATTCTGTTTTTCATTACTACCGCTGCTAGCAAACCGGGAACCCATCTCTTGACGTCCGGAAATATGAATCTTTATTTCTGAATTTGGGCGAAACTAAGTGAACCATAGTTGTATCTGAGGAAAGAAACGCTAAAAGCCACCGGAATCTCTCCTGATTTTTTTCAGTGCCAACGGAGATATTGAATTACAGAGCATGCAACGTTCCTTTCCGGTCTCTTGAGTACTAGATCTGCTGTACTCACTGAACGGACAAAGGAATCAGTGCCCTCGAATATTTACTTACATCTACAAACTTAGGCATTACGAATTACGTCTCAATTTGTCTCATATATATCCACCTCGTGTAGGGATTTTTATTGAACAGAATTATTGTATGTCAAAAGGCCACCATTTTGGAGCAGGCAATAAATATTGAGTAATCGCGATACACATATTAATCAACTTTCTATTTATCAGCTTCTCCCTTTCTCTCTTTTGCTGTATATATATATATATATATGTGTGTGTGTGTGTGTGTGTGTGTGTGTGTGTCCTTACAAATATACACACACACACATATATATATATATATATATATATATATATATCATAATCCAATATATATATATATATATATATATATATATATATAGATAGATAGATAATATCAGCAGTCAATATATATATATATATATATATATATATGTATGTATGTATATATATATATATATATATGTATATATATATATATATATATATATATATATATATATATATATATATATATATATAAATTTAAAACAAAAAAACAGACCACTTTAAGGTACCATTATAATAATTTATTTCACCAGAGTCCTTTTAAAGGACGCCGGATCATCTGATAGCACTTCAAAAATGAATATATATATATATATATATATATATATATATATATATATATATATATATATATATATATTAAAAAGAAGACCGATACCGCAAGCTTTTTGGGTTGTTAAAAAATATTATACTTTATTTTCCATAATTTTACTACAGGCGGTTCTGGTCTCGCGTGCGTCTTCAGATAAAGGTGGAATTTCACATATTATTAAAATAATTAATTTTTTTTCTCCTTTATGTTTTTCGATGTCATATATATATATATATATATATATATATATATATATATATATATATATATATTTCATATATATTTCTACATATCTATTTGCGTGTGGATGTAAACATTTCAGATAGACTATATCTATAAAAAGACAGTATGAATATATTTATTTATTTATCACTTAAACGTTATATATAATTTACACTGCTTACATCGCTCGGGCTGTCGTCCTCACCTTAATTACCAACTTCACGACGTTTCGGCCGTTGTACGCTCCGGCCTTCTTCGGGATCTGTCTATATTTCTGAGATGAAGTATTGTAATTATTTGCACTATTTACATCTTTCAGACTGCTGTCCCCATCTTAATTTTCATATTCATGACGTTTCAGTTGTGGTACGCTTCGGCCTTCTTCGGTATCTGTCTATATTTCTGAAATGAGGTACATTCTTCAGGTGATAAACATTGAAACTTTCCCAAAGGACACATGGCTCAGTAGATAAAAACGTTGATTGAGTAATTCAAAAAGTGCCTTGACCCCAAAAGTCGTGAGGTCAATACCTGGCCGCAGGTATTGAAGCTGCCTTTCATAAAAGAAGCCGGCTTTCAGAAATTAATAAAAAAAAAACAAAAAAAAATTCGTAATACGTAAGCGATCATGGCTCTCCACTTCTCCCTATCCCTCGTAGCTCTCAATATGTTTCGTCGCTCTGCCACCTCCCCTAGACTACGTTCTGTCATCCATTTGCTTAAGCCTGCCAGGTATGTCACCCGTTGCTTTCCCTTGTCTCTCTTTCCCTCTATTCGACCTGTGAGTATCAGATTCTCCAGACCCTCTTTTCTCATTATGTGTCTCAGAGACTTCAAACGAATCAAACAAACAGGTTTCGCTGGGCAGCGGTTTTCTAGACTGAGGCTAATGACCACAGCCGAAGGTTCCGTGACCAAAGTGAGCTTTCAAGTTTCGATTATATTGGCTCTTGATTAACCTGGGGGTGATTGACTTCACCAGATCTAAAATATATTACGCGTAAATAAATGGAAGGAGATGGTCAGATACTCAAAATGAATCCACCCCACCAAGCCACGGCTTAATCATTTTATCATTAAAATCGTTAATCTTACAAACTAAATATATTTTCTGGCTTTAAATAACCAGCAAAGGATTGATAAGCCGTAAAAAAGGAATCTATTTAATTAAACTGATTAGCTACACAGGCATGTCGTTTAAATTTATTTACATTCTCTGGAATAGAAAGTTTGGTTTATTTATTTTGTTTTACTACATATCAACCACAATGGGTTATTTGATGCCGACAACATCTTTCATTGCTGGTAATATTTTGTTTTTTTCAAAAATCTCTTACTGGTAATATTTTTCCTTCATAATTGTATTGCTGGTAATAATTAACTATTTGCCCATAGCTAGGACCCTAACAGGTGCTACCACCCCGGTTCAGGGTGGACCTGGGAACACTAGCAATTAAGAAGTGGTTCCACGCTTCTCAGAACCTCCTGATCAGAGGCCTCGCTGCTGGGCGTAGTTTATCGTCTTACCCAGGACGCGGATGTAGTTTAACGTCTTATCCAAGGACGGCTGGAATAGAAATGTATAGAAACTACGGTGGCCACAGAGGGCTCATTTATATAGTGAACATAATATAAAATTGATCCCTCAATTTAAACCCACATTATAATTTCTTCTTTTTTTTTCTTCAAATTCTGATTAGTTATGAATCTAACTTTTCTCCTCCAAATATGGTTTAGTAAGACTTCTATCGTTAAACCATTTTCTCAAAAAAATCTTAGAATCTAAAAGTATTTTCTGGCGTTGAAGCAAAGGGTTGATAATCCGTAGAAAACGAATCAATCATATTAAACTGATTAGCTACACGTAGATGTTGTTTAAATTTATTTACATACTCTAGAATAGAAATATATAGATATATGATAGAAACTAAAGTAGCCACAAAGTGAGGGATCATTTTATGTATTGTTGTTAATATAGAATTGATACCCCATTTTATATACATTGTAATTTCTTTTTTTTCAAATTCTGCCTAGGTATGAATCCAAATTTTCTCCTCTAACTATGGGTTAGTAAGACTTATACCACTGAAACATTATCTCCAAAAAATTCTTACAATCTAAAAGTATATTCTGGCTTTAAATAACCTGAAAAAGGATTGATAAAACGAATCAACCAAAACAATCCCTGAGTGTTATTGATACCATGTAACCCAGTATGATCGGGTCATCGAAGTCTAAACCAGTTTACCCACTGACTAGTAGGATTAAAAGCGTTTTAAGTTTTTTGTCAGAAAATCAAGGTCTTTCTTCAAGGCATTCTTTGGAATAGCCAAATAAAAACAGATCGTCTTTTTAAATTAATTTGAAAATCAGGGTCTCTCTTCAGTTCAATCGAAGATCCAGATAAAAAAGTTGATTCTCTTTTTAAACTTGTCAGAAAATCAGGGTCCCTCTTGAATACGTTCACTGGAATCGAATAACAATTTAACACTTTGACTCCGAGAGATCAATGACAAATGTGACATTAAGATCCAACTTTATAATCGTCAACCTTGGCAATAATTACTTTTTTTATGCCTTGATTTATAGCTTCGACTGACTCCTTGACATTGTTTTTATACTAAAAGTTTCAATGCCAATAAACTAATTAATGGCGTCGGCAGATCAAAATATACCAGAAAATGCTTATCACGAGATAACTCGTCGTCAACCCCATAATAAAAACTGCCTCGTGGTTGTCAATCAATGTGTTAAACGATTGGCTGCTTTTTCACCTTTGTTTAAAATCAATGTCTCTCTTCAATGAGTTGTGTCGGTTCGACAAGGCGACCAGAGAACGCTAGTTCGTCAATGTATCAGGCCAGTCCCGTGGGCTACAAAGAGAAATCGAGCTAAGCTGAAAGAAAAAAAAAAGAAAAGATCTGTGGGGGGAGAAGAAAAAAAAAATAAATGAATTGAATCGGTGTTTGGTGACGATGTAACATCTAACGAAGTTCAGATAAACGAGGAAAGAAAATATGATTAATTTCCACCATCTCCATTTAGTGAAGGATGACGTCATGAACAGCGGCTACAGCGGAAAACATGAATGGGGGGGGGGGACCCGCTTTAGTGGGTACGGGAGTTTCTTTTCAGTAACATCTCCAGTTACAAGATAGCTCCCCAGATCACACAGTGTCCAATGACAGAGGTGCAATGTTTCATTGAAAAAAAAAAAAAAAAAATAAAAAAGAAAGAAAGAAAAAATTTAAAGACGTAAAAGACAGAGATTAATTTCGAGAGAATAT